ATGTCAAATTGTAAAAAGTAATGGTAGAAAAAAGGGCTGACAAGCGAACTGGATGGACTCTGTTTTTGCCGGAAATGTAGGGATTCAGGTGTGTGCCTTCGATTCAAAAATGGTTTCGTTGGAAAAGTCAGCGCAGTCTCGAAGTTGTGGACAAGATTTGATCAAAATTTTGTTCAAATTTTCATAAAAAAATCCAATTTTCCAAAAATACAAAATTAGCAAAGATCGTGTTTAACTACAGGGTGACAAAGAAAAAATGCAACTCATATTCATGGCCATATTTTGTCTAAGACACCAAAGTTAACTAAAGTAAAGGTAAATATCAGCAACACAGAGTATTGTAAATAGTATGCTCAGTCAGTTTTAAGATGGCTGTTCTTGGCGCCGAGATAGAGCTCAAAACGTGACTTTAAATTTTGGGCGATTCGCCGGAGCTTTTTTTGGAGAAATCGGTCCCGTTCTTACCGCAGCGATCAATTAGCGGCTCCAAACATTTTTGACGTGAACTAGAGGTCTTGACCTCCAACCGAAGAAAAAACATACAGTGGCGGTCAAAAAAACGGCCACCCCAAGATGATGCGCTCTAACGCAGAAGAGAGTGGTCGTATGAAGATAAATATGGTATCATTGTAAAGCTTACGGAATACTAAGACGTGCGACTATACGCTTGTGGTACTGTAGTACTGGCCTAGCACGTACTGCAGCAAGATGTTCTTTTGGCCTGGTCAAAAAAAATGGCCACCCATAATTATTTTGCTTTAAACGCGGTGTATGTTAGAAATTGCCGCCATATGGGACTGGACTAGGATAGCTATATCAATACACACAAATTCCAGTATTTTTTACTTTGTATATATGCCCTCAGGCATCAGTCAAGGTTGATGACCTTGTTCATGGTTAAGGCCCGGCCAAATTTTTTTTTGGGTTTGTGCCGTTGTTTTGATAATCCAAAGCAATACTGTAGACGGTATTGATCGTATTCGTGTGTAAGACTGCCCACTTTTGCCAAAATTGCGCCTCTTTTGATAAGAAAACTCAAAAAATGAAATATTTTGACCTAATTTTCTCCAAAAATCCGTTTTGGAGGCCGCTAAACAATGAATGTAGAACCTTAAACAGGTTTTATTTGTACAAGAACATCATGGACATTTGTTTTAACACGGCGCCGATTAAAGGAAACGACCGCCCGAAACGACAGATACCGTTTTGTTACAGCTTTCGACTTCATGAAGTAATCATGAATTTTGTCCGGTTCCGAAACCTCGTTGAATAGAAATTAGAACATAGTATAGCATTTGTGGCGTAGTTGAGATACCACTTAATCATTTAACGATAAATATGAGCCCCTAATGCGAAAATTCGGGTTGCAGACCTTGACAAAGTTTATGACTATTTCCTGAAGTCGAAAACTGTAACAAAAGGGTATCTGTCGTTTCGGGCGGTCGTTTCCTTTAATCGGTGCCGTGTTAAAACAAATGTCCATGATGTTCTTGTACAAATAAAACCTATTTAAGGTTCTACATTCATTGTTTAGCGGCCTCCAAAACGGATTTTTGGAGAAAATTAGGTCAAAATATTTCATTTTTTGAGTTTTCTTATCAAAAGAGGCGCAATTTTGGCAAAAGTGGGCAGTCTTACACACGAATACGATCAATACCGTCTACAGTATCGCTTTGGATTATCAAAATAACGGCACAAACCCAAAAAAAAATTTGGCCGGGCCTTAACCATGAACAAGGTCATCAACCTTGACTGATGCCTGAGGGCATACATACAAAGTAAAAAATACTGGAATTTGTGTGTATTGATATAGCTATCCTAGTCCAGTCCCATATGGCTGCAATTTCTAACATACACCGCGTTTAAAGCAAAATAATTATGGGTGGCCATTTTTTTTGACCAGGCCAAAACAACATCTTGCTCCAGTACGTGCTAGGCCAGTACTACAGTACCACAAGCGTATAGTCGCACGTCTTAGTATTCCGTAAGCTTTACAATGATACCATATTTATCTTCCTACGACCACTCTCTTCTGCGTTAGAGCGCATCATCTTGGGGTGGCCGTTTTTTTTGACCGCCACTGTAGTCCACCGGATTCAGATCCGGCCAGTAGGCGGCCATTTCGCAGACCACCTAAAATCGGGAAAACAGGTCCTTTCCTGGCCTTGCGTCTTTTTTGCTTTATGGGCGGTGGCGGAATCCTGCTACGGTGTCCATTTTGAATCGCCAAGGTGCTATTGAGTCCACGGATTCACGTTGGCTTCCAAAATCTGGCTGCTAGACTTATCGGTTTGGTTTTGACTCTTTTATCCAAGAAAACCAAGGATATCACGCCGCTGGCGCAAAACTTTGCCCCAGACCATGAGAGGCCGGATTTTGACAGGGTTCAAAAATAGCGTATGGTTTTTGACTCTAAACAGTCCAACTCCTGTCATTCTGGTGGTTGTAGGCCTGCTCGGTGTTGAAATATTTCTCATCGACGGACAGGATCTTCTGTCACCGCTGAGCTGCGGCGCGACGCTTGAATTTTCGACATTTTTTCGGATATTGTTGCTTGTAGTATTCCGTGAGGCGTTAGGTTTTTGGAGCTTGTTAGGCTTGCGCTACGGTGCATTGCTGGCCATTCATCGACCAGCTGCTGTGTTGATGACGGTCTGCCGGGCAATCTTTTTCATGGACACCATCAGATTTTGCTTCACTCGCTTTTTGATGATCTCAAAGTTGCCAGAAGTGTTCAAGATGCGCTTTCTTCTATTTCCTGGGCACTTAACATCGTGGCCAAGCTCGTGGATTTGTTTGGTGGCTTTTGGCGTAGCAAATTTTCCTACACCGAGCAGTTTAGCAATCTCACACTGTCCTTTTTCTTCCCGAAACAGGTTTAAGATCGAGGTCCCTCTGTTTGACACTCAATACAAAGATGATAATCAATCGATATGGGCATAGAAATCAAAAGACTAGGACAGAAAAACACGGAGAATTTAATGGTATAAAAAATATTTCGCCACACCTAAAGATTTTCGCGGCAGGACCCATGAAAAAAAGTTGCATTTTTTATTTGTCACCCTGTATTTCGCATGTGTCTTGGAAGAAATACTCTAAATGTGCCCCAAATTTCATCAAAAACTGAGCGAAATTTCGACCATTTTTGGTCTACTACAATATCCATCCGAAAATGCTCGAAAACTCTGTCAAATCCCTGAAATTCCTACAGTATTCCCGCCATTGCGATCAATGCTCATTAATAATCTTTGAAGAATACGAAAAATCGAGTCGAATTTAGGTAGCGAAACGCATTTTTCTCCCCCCTCAATTTCTCTCGCACCCTCTTCGCCTCGCATTCTCCCTCGTCGTTTTTTCGTTTTTCTTTCGATTTCGTACCCTTTTTACCGAGAGATGTTTCTCTCTCGACGTCCCTAAAATCCGTCGCCGCTTTTTTTCTCGTTCTCCGCATAAAATGCTCCAAAATTGCTCCGTCTCCACTCGCTCCCTTCGCCTATTGTGCTATTGATTTTCGCAGCGGATTTGGCACGAGATTTTTGGGAAGGAAAATGGGATTTTGGTTGGTATTTAGACTAGAAGAGGGAGCTATCTGTGTAGTGAATAGAATGGTCCAAAAAATCTTTTTCCAGAAAGTTGTTGAACATCCGGTTATTTCGCGGATTTTCGATACGAAAGTCAAAAAATGTTTTTTATGTTGAGGTAGCACTTTCTTGGGACTAAAAATTTTAGTCGCATGTTCCATGGCGCGCAAGTTCAACTTTTTTGTTAAAAAATATTGTGGTAGGCCACCGTTGCCATCCAAAATCAATCGTTTTGCTAGATTTTGGCAAGGATCTCAAATTCACCCCCTAATTTTAAAGTGCTGGTACAATTTTTTGGAAAAAGGAGTGAAAATCGTGAAATATAAAATAAGGAATATCTGGATGTAACGAACACTTCAATAAAGAGATACTAGTTCTTCCGGATAGTCGCCAGACTGATTTTTGGAGTTTGCACTGTGCAATTATCTTTTTTGGGCCGTTGCCCTGACTTTTTTCGCACAGTGCAAACACCAAAAATCAGTCTGGCGACTTTCCGGAACAACTAGTATCTCTTTATTGAAGTGTTCGTTAGATTCACGTATTCCTTATTTTCTATTCCGCGATTTCCACTCCTTTTTCGCAAAAAATTGTACCAGATCACCACTATCCGCCGAAATCCGGCTTCATCCCGGATGTTTGGCCAAAAATTTTAAAAAAAGGAGGTCTCCAAGATTTACAGTAACCCTGAGCCGCTCTTCTCTTACAATCACATGTTCCGCGTTGTTTTGTCCGCGAATTCGGGCCATTTTGGCTGGAGAAAGAAAACACTCTTCAATCGTTATCTTTCAGCGGACTTGACGTTAAGAAATCCGGCCGGTGCGATTTGTCGGGGGCTCACCAACTTGGACACAACACAAAATCTACTTTCTCTCTCTCATTTTCGTATTTTGTTTTTTTTTTTTTGGTTTCTTCGAAATTCTTCATCTCATACCGATTAGAGCATTTACCCCTAGTACAACAAATAAAGAACCCTGTTTCTGCAAGATTTTACTCCCAATTTTATTTTGAACTGTGATTTTTGGATTGGATTTGGAACGATTGAGCATAAAAGGTAAGGTTTTTTTATTTATCTTTGAATTTTTAGGCAAAATTGAGGTGGCAAATGGGATTTTTAACCGGAAAACGGGTTGCCGGAAGTTCGTTAAAGCTCTTTTAAAGCTCCTTTCTGGGATTAGTCGAAATTTTGAATAATAAATTCTGCTAAGATTTGCGTATTTTAGCTAAAATTTGCATAATTCTTGCGAATTAGCTTACTTTTCGAATTAAAAAAATTTTTTGCGAATGTTTATTGGACTTGATTAAAATTTATGACACTAAAATTACTCATTTTTTCTCCAATTTGCATAATTTCCACAAATTTTCATCCTAAATTTTTCAAAATTTTTCTCCAAAAAACCAAAAATGGGGTTTTTTTTTCAGATGACCAAATTGTTCACAGAAGAGGAGGTCATACAGTTATGTCAGGCCATCCGCTCCCATCCTTCGCTCTACGACCCGGCCGACCCCAACTTCGGCAAAAGCCTGCCGAATAAGCTGGTCTGGGAGAGTATAGCAAAGCAATTCGAGAAGAAGAATTTTACAGGTGAGTGTATTTTGGTTTTTTTTTATTTGATTTTTAGAAGATTTGGAGAGCAATTTGGAAATTTTGTTTGCTTTTTTGTCGATAAAATTGATTTTGTCTCAATTTTTTCGATTTGTTCTGACGGATTTCGATGAAATTTCGTATCACTTTCGAATAAAATTTTTCACGACATTTTTTTGGCGTTTTATTTGCAGAAAACATCAAGATTTTTTTGGTCGGAAATTGAAAAAAGCACATTTTCTTCAAATATTTTCTTTTTCGTTTCAGCCGACGATGTGAAGCTAAAATGGAAAAACCTCCGCGACACGATGGCCTTATTGCTCCGCAAATCCAACCGAGATCCCAACACATGGCGCTTCTACGAGCACTGCTGCTTCCTGAACAATTACGAGCGCCCACAACGGCGGAATCACCGGAAAAACCCGCTGCAGCTGAAGACCGCCGACACGGAACCCAAACAGCCGAAACTGGCGACCACCACGACGCCCGAGCAGTTCCTCGCCAACAACAACACGATGCTGATGACGGCGATGAAGCTGCACAACGAAAGCAGCAACGACTCGATCCTGTCGAACATCCAGCAGCGCCTGAACAGCCAAATGCTGTTGCCGAACACGACGACGGCGAGCGTCATGTCCACGATTCCGACGCCGCAGCCGCAACGGCCCGTCGCCACCGTGATGGCGGCCAAGGAAGAGACGCCCGCGGCGCGGCACGCCCCACTCACCGAAGAATCGCCGCCCATGTGCGCCGAGGACTCGAGCTCCCGGGAACCGTTCAGTTTCGATGAGGCTTCGAGGGACTCAATCCTGCTGCAGCAGTTGGCCTCCCAGAACCCAACGTTGCTGGCAACGCCGCTGAGCGCGCACAGTCATTTGCCGAGATTGCCAAGTCAGCCGAGTTTTGTTCAGTCGACGCCGACCAGAGATCTTTATGATGTGTTTGGTAAGTTCGAGTTTTGTTGTTTGTTTTTTCTGAGTTTAGAGAAAATGGAAATGGATGAAAATTAGATGAATCTGGTCTTTTTTATTTGGATTTGGGCTATGTATCAGTGTGTCGGGAAAATAATGGGGAATCTGTCGCAAAATCGCCGCCGAGAAAATGAATTGTGTCGCGGCAAAATCAAATTGCTTTTCACTTCAACGCCACGAACGGCGCAGCGACATTGTCCTTATTATTTTCCAGATAGACTGGTAAAATACCAAATTTTTTCAATTTATTGCGCTCCTTTTTCATGTCAGGCGAAAGAACGTCATTTTTGATTCTAAAAATCCGAAAAAAATCGAATTTCTGACAAAGGTCAACCTAAGAGTTTTGGTGGTTGCTGAAAATTGTGAGATGAAAATTTCGGGGGTCCTTAGAAATTTCGAATTTGCACCAACTTTCGGCTAAATCGGAGCGCAAAAAATCTTCGAAAATAAAAAAAATTGTGTTTAGGGCAAAAAAATTGCTTTTTGGCCACTTTTAAGCCAAAAATTTTGGTAATTTCTGAAAAGCGCGAGCTAAAAATTTCGAGAAAATAATGAGCGCAGTGAAGCGAAAAAGAATTTGATTTTGCCGCGACACTGTTCGTTTTCTCGGAGGCGATACGATTTTTGATGCGACAGAGTGCTCATTATTTTCCCGACAGACTGATACTCAAAATTCGCTCAAAAATCGCAAATTTTTTTTTGGAAACGAAAGAAAGTAGGAAATTCTTATTTTTTTCTCCTAATCCCTTCCATTTTGCAGGCGAAGAGACGGCGATGAGGTTGCGCGCGATCGACTCGAGCGGCGACCGCGCCCTCTTCCTGAAGGCGCGCCGCAGCATCAACAACGCGCTGGAAGAGGCGGAAATGGAGATGAACAACCGCAGCCGTCAGTCCCATTAAACCGAACGGAAAGAAATCGCGAATAAACAGAGAGATAGTATTCAAACCCTTGTTTTGTTATAACGCCCCCCTCATGAAGAATGTCCAACCTGCATTTATCCTCCACCCCCGACCCACAACCTTGTTTTGTCGCCTGGTTCAGTCTGCCAGTGTTCGCATATAATTATAAAAAAAGTCAATATAAATATTAGATTCCTTGTTTCTGCGTAGTAAAAGGCTAAACACATTGAAAGGAGTGAGTATTGTCCGGGTTCCGGGTTGATGAGGGATGGTTCGGAAAAGTTTTGCGGTTTTTTTTTTTGTTGTTGAATCGGACTCTAACCTACAGTGGGGGACCTAATCCAGTGGCAAAAAACGTTCCATTTTGCATCCAGAAAGTATCAAAAAATGTGGTAAAACACCTCCCTTTCCATGTGAAAAAACTCAGATTTCAAAAGCGCGGCCCCTCTTTTTGTGAGGGAAACCTTCAAAGCGAAGTTTTTTTTGCTTCGAAAGGGAAGCATTTTGCCACATTTTTGATGCTTCCCGGATGCAAAATGATACGTGTTTTGCCACTGGTTCAGGTCCCTCACTGTATGTTGCAGAGATTAAATGTAAGTATAGCTCGATTAGGCCCGCAAATTGTCACAAAAAATGGTCCCGAATTTGCTATAAAAACGTTTCACGGAGGCCCAGCGGTACAACGCTTTTTTAAAAGTTCGTAGACTCTTTGTCGCCAGCTTTCCACACTGAATTTTACCTTTTGCACTCTGCAGTTGAAATATCGCAGGTTTTTTTTCAACTACGTTGCCGCGAATTCAGCGAGCGCGACAAACATTTCACAGTGCAAAAAGAGGCAAAATGCAGCCGCGAAAAGAGTCTACCCACTTTTGAAAAAGTGTGGTACAGTTGGAGACTTGATCTAGTAGCAAAAAACGTTCCATTTTGCATCCAGGAGGTATCAAAAAATGTGGCAAAATGCTTCCCTCTCCAACTGAAAAAACTCCGATTTCAAAAGCGCGCAAACTGTTTTTGTGAGGGAAAGGGCGCGGCCTTCAAAACGAAGTTTTTTCACTTGGAGAGGGAAGCATTTTGCCACATTTTTGATGCTTTCCGTGTGCAAAATGGTACGTTTTTTGCCGCTGGATCCATCGATATAACATCCTTTAGCATCAAAATAACTCGGTCAGCTTCTCGACCTTTTTTGTTCGCTGTAATTTCTCCGACAGCTGAGAGAGTCCCCGTACAAAATATTTATTGGGCCAGGGGCGGAACCGATGTTCTCAGCTTCGCCCTCTATGCGGAATGAACGCCTACTCGGATGTGAATCTAACGTACTATTTTTTAAGCCGTTTGCCTAGGGCAGAAAAATTTTATGAAGCCTAACACTGAAGAAACGGGTATCGACGAGCTCTCTGTCCATTTGAACCTAGAAACCAACGTGAGTCTGATCTCAAAACGTCATCGCCGTACAAAAGCATGACGTATGCCCAAGAACCAACAAAACAAGAGAGACTTTTTCAATTGTATTAAGTCTGACAACAACAATCAGCGGCTCAAAGTATTCTTTTTCCAACACAATGCTCTTTCTCGAGCATCTCTCGAGTTTCACGGTGATGAATAGCTTTAAACTGCTGTAAACACTTACAAATATTCTCATTATCAAAACACAGTCAGTGATAATCGAAAGATGGGAGGGGAACCCCATGAAAGCAAAGCTTATAAAATTTCTTAATTAAGAACACTCGGTTCTTCAAACAGTTCCCGTCGTACCTTCTGACTTCAGCAACCAATCTTCTCTTGTGTAATATTGTTTGTTGTGTCGTCTCTGGCGAACACACACGTTAATTTCGGTTCAATGGAAATTTGAGGTTCTCCTCTTTTTGTACTCTCGAATTAGAGCCCTCTTTTCGATAAAAGAGTCCCTCTTCCTCTTGTTTATTCCGCTCGAAGTGAATATTACGAAGAGCCGGAGGACTTTTTTTCCCTCAAGCTCAAATATTTCATATTGGATCAATGCGTACTACTACTACTACTACTACTACTAGTCGTCCCAAAAAGTGTGTAGACTTTTTGTCGAAAGCTTTACGCACTGTGCAGATTTTTTGCACCGTGCAATTAAAAAATCGCCGCGAATTTTGTGCGCGCAACAGATATTACGCTTTTTCAAAAGTGCAGACACATTTTGTCGTGGGCCGCACCGTGCACAAAAATCCCTTTTGCGGGGTGCATTTTGACCTTTCGCACTGTGCAACCGGATATCGCTGCGACGCAAGCTTTTCTCAACGGAGCCGGCGCGAATTTTTTGAAATTGCACAGTGCAAAAATGTTTCGAATCGGATCGCGTCGCGCGGGGAACACGAAACTTGCACTGTGCGGTGCAAAAAAGGGCGTCGCGACACTTGCGGGCAACCACTTTGCGGGCAACCAGTTTGCGGGCAAATTTTTTGCGGGCAACCACTTTGCGGGCAAAATTTGGAGGGTCACATTTGCGGGCAGCTGAAACATTTGCGGGCAGCTGAGACATTTGCGGGCAGCCTGGGACATTTGCGGGCAACCGACACTTGCGGGCAGCCGACATTTGCGGGCAACCGGCACCTGAGGGTAACAGGGTGGAGGTGGAAAAATTACTATGATATTTTGGAAATTTGCCGACATTTGCGGGCAGCCGACACTTGCGGGCAACCGACATTTGCGGGCAACAGAAAAAAACAATCACACAGACTGTATTGGTACTTTTGGAACTGTTGCCCGCAAATGTCGGCTTCCCGCAAGTATTGCCTGCCCGCAAATGTCGGAAAACTTCCAAAATATCGCAGTAATTTTTCCACCTCCACGTTGTTATCCTCAAGCGCCGGTTGCCCGCAAATGTCGGCTGCCCGCAAATGTCGGCAAATTTCCAAAATATAATATCATAGTAATTTTTCCACGTCCACCCTGTTACCCTCACAATCAGGTGTCGGTTGCCCGCAAATGTCGGCTGCCCTCAAATATTCCAGGCTGCCCGCAAATATCGACCCTGCCCGCAAGTGTCCCAGGCTGCCCGCAAATGACGGTGCTGGCCGCAAATGTCGGCTGCCCGCAAAGTGGCTGCCCGCAAAAATTTTGCCCGCAAAGTGGTTGCCCGCAAAGTGGTTGCCCGCAAGTGTGCGCCCGCCCAAAAAAGGCCGGAAAATGTGTCTGCACTTTTGAAAAAGCGTAATATAGCACAGAAAAAACTCTACGCTCTTATGAAACGGCGTAGTAGTCCGTTCACAGAGTCGCTGGAGTGATTTCGGCGTCATGCACTGTGCGAAAACAAAAGTTCATTTTGCACTGTGCAATTTCTCGCTTTTTGCACCATGCAATCCTACGTTTTTCACAAAACTGATTTTTGCGGGGTGCATTTGGCCTTTTGCACTGTGCAACCGGATATCGCTGCGACGTAAGTTTTTCTGAACTGAGAATTTCCGGCGTGCGAAAGGAAATTGCACAGTGCAAAATGTTTTGAAAGGATTGCTCGCGCAACATGCACGGTGCGTTGCGAAAAAGCCCGAAAAAAGTCTACGCACTTTTGAAAAAGCATAGCAGTTTTTTGAGGCTTTTTTAAGAGGAGTGTATCGTCGCTGCGAAAATCGCGAAAAAGGTGCTTTGCACATTGCATTTTGTATATCTTTACCTTAAGTCGCGATTTCCATTTTTTCCCAGAAAAAAACATTATTTTTTAGACAGCGGCAGAATTCGTCATAAATTCTTTTGCACCGAGGAGTACTAACTGATGGAAAAAGTTGCACTAAAGCCAAATATTTTGCCCTATTTTCGGTATTATGTGAATTTGATAGGCGCTGAAGGAAGAGACTTGAGGAGAAGCGATGTTTACATCGGTGGGTTCATGAAAAAGTTCCTGGTGAGTGCCTTGCAAGCTTGTTTATGCTTTCCCAACAATTAAAAGTAAAGTTAACACAGTCACGTTAACCGGTGAACTCTCGTTTATATCTTCTTGTTGGAAAACGATCTCATTTTTAGCTTACGTCAAATCGACTGCTACACAAATTTTTGAGACGTTCATTTACTGACTGTAGGATGGTATTGGCAGAACGATCATGTTACGCCCTATCTCCAGATAGCCGGAGATGGCACGTGGACGATGTACGAACATTGATCTCATTACATGCCATATGTAAAACAACCTCCAAAGTCATCCATATCTCGCGAGAACCTAGCGTAATGAACGTTGACAACCGACTGATTCAGGCTATTTACAACGCGGCTAGTAGGTTTACAAGTCTGTAAATAAACTAGTTGTTTCTATTAGAGCTGAATCTGCAGCTTCATATTGATGAGTCCTTACGATCAAGGCTCATTGACCAAGTTCTTGCTGATAATGATGTTCAAATGGCTGGATCATCAACAAGCCAGCCAGTTGAGGCGGTTATTGCGTATGGTTTACGGCCTATGAGCCAAGTGAGTAAGATGGATGAAGAACCTTACTCAAGAATTTCAATAAGGCGTAGAGGGAATGCGGAAGAGCAAGCTGAACATTTGGGAAATCAATTGGATCATGGTCATCAAAGAACAGAGGAGCTTTGTGAGTCTTTTGAATTTGGACAGGGTGGGCCAAAAAAAAATGTACAAAAATCGATTTTTTGCTTGCCATCTTGCTGATTGAGTGGTACTATTCCCAAAATGCGCTTAGTATATTCATCGTAGAGTAGTAAACACCGTATGGGGGTAATTAGTTTCAAAATGTTCACTACTTTGGTAGAGCATCGATTTTCCGAATCGATTTTCCCTGGCCGAGTGTCTAACTTCTGGTCACTGGTTCTTCATTTTCCGAAAAGCTTGGGTTAAATCCTTTTAAAGCCTAAGGGGGCATGTCTCCTAGATTTGCGCAGACCGCTTGGTATGTCTTTACAGCGACCCTAAAAAATTTAGGGGTAAGAACTTTTGAAATTTTTGCCGCGGGAATTGGCGCGCTGACCCGGTGACCTTCCTGCAACTGTATGTTAGAAACTTCTGCAGATAGGAAAAAAATTCTACAGTAAATATGTTACCTTAACACAGTACTTTCATCCCATATGTACCTTTTTTCACACACTGTTTCATGGAAGGAAGAATCGAAGAAAAATTAATGTCCATTTTTTTGGCCCACCCTGTAAAGTGCTATTGCGATGCTGAGATTCTAATGAAACTTGGCACAAATTTTTAATAATTTTTTATAAGCCGTGTGACAGATAATGGCCGTTTTAGACGCCGTCGACATTTTGCCCCACAAAACGGTCAGCTTGAATATGGAAGGTTTCAATTTCCTGTCTCTACTGCAATACTTGCCGTAAGTAAAGAGCCATAAATCCCCTATGCCGTTCAGGCTTCCTCCACTACCTCATTTGCGATACATCACAGCCGGCTTCAAACTTCTGGACCTGCATCCCAATGATATCCCTGTCGTGTACGGCCAACTCTTGTCCGAGATCCGCACCGCTACCGGCGGCTGCGATATTTTTCTCTCCAACAAAACGTCATTGTATTCGACGGCCTACAAACGTCAGGAACCCGTGCTGAAAAGGTTGATAGAGGCATTCAAGGCGTTTTACGAATTTTCAAAGGCAGATGTCAAGTCGAAATTTGAGCAACTTCATTGCCAGTTAAAAATTTATTTGCCGACTGAAGAAACCAAATGCATCAACAGCTGGCTGAAGTTGATGAACACGATTACAACATGTTATGTGTTGGAAACACGGAGCGATAAGTGGTCATTCCAGGCAAAGCTGAAAGATCCGCATGCGGAGTTCAAGGCAAGAAAAACTATATCTTTATGGGTCTGTCGGGAAAATAATGAGGACGCTGCCGCTCTGGCCAACCGCTGAAAAGAATAGCAATTTAGTGTGCCGCGGTACAATTAATTTCATTGATAACGATATGATTTTCAATGCGACAGATTGCTCATTATTTTCCCGACAGAATGATGCTTATGTAGATTTGCAACAACTTTAATTTCAGGCTTCCGGTGAACGTTATTCACTGAACATGATGGTCCACTTTTCCGACAATGTTGTCACGCAACTTCACGGACGTGATTTTGCTATGATTGAGTAGAAAGCAGTGAAAAAATATCTCTTATAAGTATTTCCGCCATCAAAATTGTAACTTATGTGTATATACTACATCCTTGTATAAACCAAAGCATACGCAGAAATTTTGGTTCCCCAGCCGCGGCTAGTCATCGCAGAGCGATGCTGTTCGGTTTCAAGAACCCATAAAGCCACATAATTTGCCCGACGGCCTGATATGTTATTCGCATGCACTGAAAACATTGACTTTTTCCAACAAAATTTCATAAAACCAAAAAACAGCTCTGACCTGACGTAAAAACCTACGCGAAGTGTTTGGCGTCATTTCAAGGGGAATGTTGATAACCTTATCGCTATATTTGAAGATAATGCTTCAAAGCGTGTGTTCGCAAAAAAAGGCTATTCCATTGAATCGAATAGGTATTGCATCTTCATCTTTGCTTGCCAGAATGACGTCCGATGTGGTCTATTATGTCACCTTCGCGTTGATTCCACTCTTCACTGTGCTCATGCCGATTATCTGCATATCGGCAATAGTGGTTCTTGTTGTGTAAGTTGTGTACGAATATTTTATTTTATTTTTGTTTCTTTGGAGAGCTCTGGAGATTTTTTTGTTGTGTGTCTAGCCTCGTGATAACTGAGGAATATACTAGTACGTTTGTAAAGTGGCTACTAGTCCAGAGTTTGTGAACGGACTACTAGCCGCTCCAGAATGTTCGCAGACTTTTTTCGGCCGTCGCACGGCAACCCAGGGAGTCTCCCTGGTCGTTTCGGCACTTCGCACACCCAGTATCGGTCAAATTCACACGAAATGTCACAACAGAATTTTTCGTGTATTTTTTCAATGGAAAAATATAATATTTTTCTCGAAATTATTTTATTGCTTTTGTCAGTTGTGACACTTCGTTTGAACGAAACTCAAAAGTGGGCGGGAGACATTTTCCCTCTATTTCGGTTTGCCGTGCGTCGTAGCGATAATGCACGGTGCAGAAAGTCAAATGCACGCCGCAAAGAAGGTTTTTTCCACAGTGTGGCCCACGACAAAAACTCTGCGGAATTTCTGGGACGACTAGTATGAGGCCCGGCCCCCAGGGGGGCCGGACCGGGCCGGGCCGAGAAAATTTGAAGGGGGCCGGGGACGGGCCGACCTCTTCCGGCCCCCGGGCCGGGCCGCGATTTTCGGCCCGGCCCGGCCCCCCAGCCATGTCTAGGCCTAACATTCCGTGTCCACCATTGGCTTTTACCTCCTCAAGTTGCCGCATTTTGTTACCTATATCCTAATTGAACCCAAGACCAATTGAAGGCCATCATCCTTTTTTATGACTTTGCTCTTGGGTCAATACTTCTGGAATTTTCATCACTCCACCTGGCTACATATATCGGTCTGTCGGGAAAAATATGAGCGCGCTGTCGCATCGTTAATCGCATCGCGGCCAAAAAAATGAGTTGTATTCGCGGCAAAATCAAATAGCTTTCCACTTCAGCAACGCGATTGACATTGTGCTCATTATTTTCCCGACAGACTGATATACGGTTTCCTAAATAGATCTTCCTTTCCTTCGTACTGTTATCAAAAATTTCCACTATTTTCACTTTTTTCATCCCCCTTTTTGTTATCGTAAATTACGACTGAATCAACAAGAAAGAAAAATCGTAAAAGTCCCTGGGGCGTTTGCTTGAATCCTATCAGTTTTGGAAACATGACCGTTGAGCGGAATGTTTGCCTAGGCTTTATGACCCTACTATTCCTGGTAATGCTCGCGCTCTTCATCGTATTGGTCGTATTTTGGTTCAAACCGTTGGAGTTCGAGAGCGCCGAAAGCGGAAATTCCTTTTCGAGGCACAGAATCGACTGATAAAACGGGTGCTTGTGACGGTAAGGCTTTGTTAGATATTTCATATTAGTCTGTCGGGAAAATAATGGGCACACTGTCGCTGCGCCAATCACGTCGCTGAAGTGAAAAGCAATTTGATTTTTCTCATTTTCACAACTCATTTTCTCAGCGAAAATGACCTGGCTTGGATCGCAGCGGTCCATGCACTTTATGAAAAACCCAATATGTATTTATTAACCCCACAACTCATTGATCTTTTGTTGATCTTTCTCCCTCGAGAGCTCTCTCTAAACTCCCCTTTCCCATTCGAAATTCATTTGCATTTTACCCAAAAAATGGACCCATTTTTGGGCTGGATGACTAACCCCTCTCTCGCAACATCACTGGCAAAAACGAGCATTTTCTTCGCTTTCGTACCGAAACCACCGTTTTTTGGGTTAATTATGTGTGAGAATGCTTGATATGACATTTGTCACTGTCGTTTTACTACTGATTTTGCTGTTCATCATCTGCTTGGCGTTTTCGATCACTGCCAGATTTGCTTATCAATATCAAAGTATGTAAGTTTAGAGGAAGGGTTGAGGGCTTGCAGGGTAAGCTTACAGGGTAAGCCCTCAAAGTGCGAGGCTTCGATTTAGATTAATCCTGGCGCAATTATCGATAGGATATTGCTTGGAAATACGCCGAATTTTTAGCTTGCATTTGCAAAAGAAATCGGGTTTTTTAGGTCGAAAGCAGGTGTAACTTTCGAACCTTTTTTACGAGTGTTGGAACTGACTCTTTTTGAGAGTAACGTTCCCAAGAAAACCCAACTTTTTCGTGCAAAGCTGATCGAAAAGTGTTCTCCTCACTTCATGTACTCTCCGTCGATATATGCAGTTGCTGCAGTGACATGCACTGTGCAAGTAAAGGCCAGAAAAATTTCGCTGAAATTGAAAAGTAAACGGAAAACACACACGATCAGCGTACAAGATAGAAAGGACATCTGAGTGTTGCCCTTCACACTTGAGAAATTTATGACTGGGAATTTGTCGCTCATGATTTTCTTAGGGTTACAATTTTCTTAGGCTTACAATTTTCTTAGGCTCACGATTTTCTTCGGCTTACAATTTTCTTAGGCTTACGATTTTCTTAGGCTTACAATTTTCTTAGGCTTACGGTTTTCTTAGGCTTACGGGTTTCTTAGGCTTACGATTTTCTTAGGCTTGCGATTTTCTTAGGCTTACGATTTTCTTAGGCCTACGGTTTTCTTCGGCTTACGATTTTCTTAGGCATGCCATTTTCTTAGGCTTACGGTTTTCTTAGGCTTACAATTTTCTTATGCTTACGATTTTCTTAGGCTTGCGATTTTCTTAGGCTTACGATTTTCTTAGGCTTACAATTTTTTTATGCTTACGAGCACAGCCAACGCCAAAAATTACTGCAGCGACTTTACAAACGGACTAGTCCTACTCTTGCCAGACACCTTGCACAAAGTATTCTCACCAAAAACAAGGCCCCCTGCCCAGTTGCTTCTCCAATTTACCAAATTAGATTTTTTGTATTTTCCCAAGATTTTTTTGCCACTCATCCATGATCAATCACCTCCCCGCTCCCTTAAACTCTCTAGCCCTCTCTCTCACGGAAACATCAAGACGCCTCGAGCAAACTTGACTCACAAACAAAGCCAGCATTTAACGTCACCGCCACTCCTTATTTGGAAATTTGGGGCTGTTCGAGGCACTGATAACAACCCTAAAAAAATATTTTTTCGATTGAGTCACTCTCTGTGATTTCGCACTTCTCTGGTTTTCAAGCTTTTTGGTGCCATGCGACCGTTCATAATATTTCCGCTGGTTTCCATTGTCATAATTATTGGAATTTTGATTATGATTATTATTAGGTAAGCGCTATAATTTTCATATTTTATTCAGTGCTACTAGCACGTTTCCAAAGTCGCTGAGTGATTTCTGCAACAAGCACTGTGCGAAAACAAAAATTTACCTTGCACGTCAAGCTGAGCAGTCCGGTAATCAGAATAGACTCTTCGCTATCAGTTTTGTACACTTAGTCTTGATTTCGCAGAGAAGACAAAGAAAGGAAGCGCAAAAACGTAATCTCACGCCTAAAAAAATCCCCATTTCTTCCCCGACAAAAAGTTTTTTCACGTCTTTTTTGGCGAGTTGCCAATCCATTCACCGGACTTTTTTACAAGGAAAGTACTTTTATGGGGGCTCCTACTTTTTGACGGGACATATCTCAAAAAATCAGAAAAAATGTGCTGATCAAGGATATATAAATCTTAGCTGCCCATTTTGGGCTTTTAGGGGTGAAAATGCCCAAAAACTGGCTTAATTTCCCTACAAAAGGTGCAGGCATTCGAAACGATAAAAAGCGCACTCGGTCTCTTCCTTCGGAAGAGAGCGGTGTGGCCGAGTGGCTAGTGCCGTAGTCTAGGAATCAAGAGGGGGAATGCCGCACGGGTTCGACATCCCTTTTGGGCCGAATCAACTTTTTTTGAAGATGAAGGTCGGAAAAATAAATTTTTGGGCCAAGACTGATTTATTACGTCTTAGAAACTCAAAAAACATCATTTTAAGCCAAAATAAAAATTGTAAACCTGTGAAAAATTAAGCGAAAAGGGGTTTATATAGGACTTTAAGACAACTTCCGATTGAGTTTTCACCCCTAAAAACCTAAAATGGGCAGCTAAGATTTATATATCCTTGATCAGCACATTTTTTCTGATTTTTTGAGATATGTAACGTCAAAAAGTAGGAGCCCCCATAAAAGTACTTTCCTTGTTAGCTTATCTCAGTTTGACGTGCCTTGCACCGTTCAATATGCTTTTTTGGGCTGTCGCTCGCACCCTGACTTTTCTGCACAGTGCACGTTGCCGAAACCACTCCAGCGACGGAGTAGTTGCAACACAGATTTTGGAATTGAAACGCTCAGATTTTCTTTAAAATTTGCACACTCTATGGGCATGAACCGAAAAAGAAAAGATTTCCGAGAAGATCTTCGATTTTCCGCAATTTCCGAGAAGATTTTGCGCGCCTTGCAGCGACAGCGGAAATAGATTAGAATAGATATAATCATCCTTGTGTCCGATGGAGTACGCGAAAAAGAGAAAATGTCGATTTGACTTTTTGGCCCAGCTAGTATCAGTCTGTCGGGAAAATAACGGCGGATCGTCGCGCCTCGGAATCGCCCATCATCGCTCTGCGACCGAAAGCCGCGGCTGGGGATTTGGTGCGCGATAGCGGATCCACGGTATTTTCCCGACAGAGTGATATTTTTGGTTGAAAAAACTTAACATTATTTCCATCAACAACAACTAAGCTATAAAATATCTATAGAAGCGAAACAAAATTTCCTTGAAAAATTGAAATAATATTATTGTATTTTCTCACTTTCAGACGTAACCAACAACGTTCCAACATGCGAAGTCAAAATTGTGTCACCGCCACCTACACCGTGCCCGGCGCCGAGAGCGTAGTGGTCTACCCGTATAATTCGTATCAGCCTCAGGGTCCGCCATATCCGCAAACCTTCCAAAGTCCATATCCAAATCAGCCGCCTGCCTACTACCCTCCGCCGCCACCAGCTTACTCTCCGCCCAAAGCTCCGGGACAATTTTAATTTGAACAAAAAAATTTGCAAATCGTATTTATAAACCAACGGGTCACTAGATTTTTTTAAATATTGTGTATTATGTTTGAATAAATAGTAAACCAAGGTACCCCCGCCCGTGCTGCAGCGCGAATTAAAATAACATCTAGGGCTCTTGTGCGTCCTATTTTCATGTTTAATAGGCGTACACATCTGATTTTCTAAAGTATATACCCATTTTAACATCAGCAAGCAAAATTTTTTTTGATGTCTAGTACAATATTGGGGCAGTGCGGGTAGATTGGTGGATTTTTTGCAGCCTTGCTACATACGGTTTAAAAGCGCAATTCCTGATCTTCAAAACCGTATGTCTAACATATCTCGTAATGCGTTACAAAGCTCACAGGAATTCGCACAAGTCAACGACCCCAAAATACACAAGACTTATGGGACACCCTAATAGAACAACTTTTGGTTTCTATTGAATGTTGGTCTCACATTCTAGCGAGGGATCATTCGTTCTTGATTCAGCCTGTGCTGTCAGCTTGAAGAAATAAATCTTTTCTGCGTAATTCACATGCCTTGTTATCCAGTTTTAGAAAAACAAAGGGTTCAAATGATATAAGCGTTGTCAATGATATAAAACGCTCAAAACAATCCAATTTACGCAAACGTTGAGAAACTTTGCCGCAGGCGCTGAATTATGGCGAGCGCACACTTGCGGGCAGCCACCTTGCGGGCAGCCGACATTTGCGAGCAACCGACACCTGATTGTGAGGATAACAAGGAGGAGGTGGAAAAATTACTGCGATATTTTGGAAGTTTTCCGACATTTGCGGGCAACCGACACTTGCGGACGGCCGATATTTGCGGGCAACAGTTCCAAAAGTACCAATACAGTCTGTGTGATTGTTTTTTCTTGTTGCCCGCAAATGTCGGCTGCCCGCAAATGTTCCAGGTTGCCCGCAAATGTCTCAGCTGCCCGCGAATGTGACCCCCCAAATTTTTCCCGCAAAGTGGTTGCCCGCAAAAAATTTGCCCGCAAACTGGTTGCCCGCAAAGTGGTTGCCCGCAAAAAATTTGCCCGCAAAGTGGTTGCCCGCAAGTGTCGCGACGTCTAAATTATCACGGACCCCAGACAAAACAGTGTTTATTTAACAAGGAAAGTACTTCTATGGGGTGTGGAATTACCGGTCGAGATATATATCAAAAAATTCGCAAAAATTTTCTCATTCAGAATATATAAAAATTAACTGCCTAATTTTGGTCTATCAGCGAGTTTTTTCAATAAATGTTTTTCTCGAGGAAAAAAATCTGCGGCAACAAAAGCGAGCTCGGTCTCTTCCTTCGGAAGAGAGCGGTGTGGCCGAGTGGTTAGAGCGCTAGATTGGGAATCCGAAGGGGACGGGTTCGATTCTTTTTGCCACACTAGAGCCCATTTTTTACATTGGAACTACTTGTAAGGTGTTGTTCTAATCTAATTTGATATTTTAAGGCTTGTCAAGGCCTCAGAATTTAGTTTAGCTCAAAACAAAATTTTTTTATTTGTAAAAACGCGGTCAAAACGACACTTGCATGGTGTCGCGAGAAAACTTCTGAGGACAAAAACATGTCATTAGACCAAAATTAGGCAGCTAATTTATACATATTCTGGATCAGAAAATTTTTGCGAATTTTTTGATATATATCTCGACCGGTAATTCCACACCCCATAGAAGTACTTTCCTTGTTAATAAAACAAAAACAGGAAACACACATTTGCTTCCTGCCGGTTTGTACTATCTTATAAATCTCCATTTTTTCGACGTAAAAAACATTATATCAACTGCTCCAATTTTCCCCTCATTTTTCGCAAAAATCATGGAGATTTAATCAAGGAAGACGGAAAAACTAACAAATTGCAAACCAAACATCTATTTCGTGTGCGTTATGCCACGACTATGCGCGTGCTTGTCCCCACTTCTATTATCTCATGGCGGCTTTCGCCATGTTATATTTGTTGAAAGGATTCGTGGCTGGATCCCAGTCTTTTCGGCTGAGAGTTGGCAAAGAATCCAAGTACTGGTCAACGAATCAGGACCAGAGATTGCCACGGCTCAGGAGCTGGCTCTTGGCTCCGGCTCTGAGCGGCTCCGGCTCCGAGCCGGGAGCCAGAGCCGGAGCCGGAAATTTTGGGTGCGGCTCCGGCTCCCGAGCCCAAAGTCGGAGCCAGGCTTCTCAGCGTTCAGAAAAGTAAAAATTTCATAGACCAAATTGCTTGAAAAATACTGGAAAGGATGTGCTGCATACGAATTGGCTGCAAAAACGTTGGGTGTATGATAAACGGCACTAATAACTTTTATTTTTGGAAAGATATTTTAAAAAATTTTTTGCACGGGAGCCGGGATTCGGAGCCGGAGACCTTTTTAAATTTTTTATGGGAGCCGGAGCCGGAGCCGAAATTTTGACCGTGGCAATCTCTGATCAGGACCACACTAACGAGACATAAATTTATTGACTATGACCATAGTCATACTATATGGGTCAAGAGAGGGGTGGAGACAATATTACTATTGTATATCGTTTCGTAAAGGTTTTGCTCAAATGTTCTACCGTATTACTCTGGCATGTCCACCTTAATTTTTGCCTTATACATATATTCTTTCTTGTGTACCCATTTCAACGACGAAAACATTATGATTAGAATATTCAGGCAATGACATTATGATTCCAATAAAATACAAACCCCTTCGAGAAGATGACACAGTCAAACAAATCCTACCATATTTTCGCAACATTTTCGACTTTTTAAAACGCCACATTTTGTAAGTAAACCCCAAATTTTGTAACTTTATTTTGCTTTACTTTTCAGAAACTCGCCATAATTGTCATTATTTTTTACCTCGCCAAAGCTTACAAAAACCAAAGATCTCTCGAATATCGCGATGAAATTCCTCTTGAAGATTGTTATATTGTTTTGTCATCAGACTTAAACCTTTACTATTTAATTCACATGCCAATTGTAATCCAATATTGGAAAAACAAAGGGATCAAGGCGATATTATTGATCACTTTGAAGGAAGGAGAGGAAATTAAACATGATAAAGCGGCTGCAAAAGTTTTGCAATTCGCTGAGGAAGAGCTGGGTGTAAGTAAAATGGGATGTAACATTCTGTAATCTCAGATATTCATTATTTTTTCCATTTTTTAGGCAAAAGTCGAGTACTTCCGCAACAAGACGCTCAAAACTGGCCAATTTGCGCAAACTTTGCGAAGTTTTGCCGCAGGCACCGAATTCTCAAGGCACTTGGATCCGGATAAAACGGTGTTCATCACAAGCGACGCAGATTTCTTTCCAAATGATACAAAAAATCACATTCCCAAAGTGAGAAAAGGGAAGGAAATCTTGTTTTACGACCACGAATGCTGTGGGTATTTGAGGTTCCACGGCGAACGACATCGGATGTACATGATGATTACAATTGGCATGACGTTGAGAAGGTGGAGGGAAATCATAGGTAGGCCTTATTCCTATTTACAATTAACTCAGACTTCCATCAAACTTGGCTCGCCAAATTGTCGAATCTAGGGAGAGCACGCGAAGAGCGGAGAGCGGTCCGAGAGAGAAGCGTTTTTGGTCATGTCTTTGTCAGTTTGGCGCGGAGACACCTTATTTTTAGTTGAAACATTTCCCTAAATGTGGTCAGCGGTCAGGCCGGGCTCGAAATTTGACAAGCCGGCAGGGCCGTGGGCCATAGTTTTTTTCAGGCCCGGCCGTTCTCATTGTTTCCGCGCCGGGAAAATTCATTGATGGTTACAACTTCTCAAATATGAAAGATTTTCTAGGCTTGAGATATTCAAATATCGCATATCTGAAGATTTTTTATCGGATGTTTAAAAATGCACAACAAGAATGCAAAATGTAAACCAAATATGTGCGCGTTGTTTTCCGTACGTCCCCACTAAATTTATGAAGCCTCATAGCACCAAAGACGTATTTTCAGGGATCCCAGACCATCCAATTGACGGCGACTGGGTGGATTCTTATGTAAATAGCACCTTTTTGGGGGTGATTCACAAAAAGAACGTATGGTGGCAATGGTTTTTGGATCAGCGGTTCTTCAGCATCAAACTGAAAAGATGGAGTGACATAAATCAAGAGGAGTAAGTTATCCATGGAAAGTAAACTAATGGTGTTTAATTTTTCAGATTCCAAAACGTCGTAGAATATTATCGCCGCATAGGACAGCCTCGCCTAGAGAGATGGGAATGGCCAGACGACGAAGTTATGGCCAAGACAGATGTCTGGAAGACCTACGAAAGTGCTCATCTGACTCCGGGGATCTTCATGGATAACATTTGGGAGAAGAATCTCGTTTTTTACAAACGAATCTTCCCTTCGGATCAAGTCGAAAAGCTGACGGAATATAGAAATAGTGTGGTGGAGGTGATGAATGTAACCGAGACTTTGAGACGGCATTATCATCCAGCCCAGAAAGACCCATATTGGAAAACGACTTTCCAAATGAAGGGCATGCTGGGCGAAGCAAAGGATAAGGAAAAGAAGAGGGAGAAGCCCTGATAAATTGAATAAGATGACCAAGATTCTGTAGGCTTTGCAAAGTAGGACTTTCCCCGTGTTTTTAGTGCTCTGAGTTCGCACATGAACGTTGATAGGTCGACGTTTCAAATAAAGATAAGGTATACATATGTATTTTGATGGCTTTTATTCGAGTGCTCTCATTTTTCCTTTGAAATTAAAATAAAACAGGGTACAGTGACGCACCTGATCCAGTGGCAAAAAAACGTATCATTCTGCATCCGGGAAGTGTCAAAAATGTGGCAAAATGCTTCCCTTTCCAAGTGAAAAAAAATTTCGATTTCAAAAGCGCCCCCACCCCTTTTGTGAGGGAAAGGGCGCGCATTTCATAACGGAGTTTTTTAGTTGGAGAGGGAGGTATTTTGCCACATTTTTGATACCTCCCGGATGAAAAATGGTACGTTTTTTGCCAATGGATAAGGTCCGTTATTGTAAAAGTGCACGTGTAAATTGTGGCTCGCATCGTGCATTTTGCCTGACGGCAAAAAGTCTACGCACTTTATGAAAGTACCAGTAACTTTGCACATGCTCTAAGTAGGTCATATAGAGATCGGGACGCCCAAATTTCTTCGCACGAGCCCAAATCGATTATGAATCGCTGCCGGCTCAGGATCAACTGAAAATTCAAACGGCTGGAAAGAAATTTCCAGCAACAGCTGATTTTCAAAACATTCACGATGTTCTGTTTGTAGCCATCATAAAGTGGTGATTTGTTTGCATTTGGGTGGTTAGTTCACCATTTTTTCTCCCATATACATCCGGAAAGCCCAGCTTTAATGGTGTTGATAACAATTTTGTTTGACGCTTCAAGTAAAACCCCGCATTTATGTGCATCGTGACCGATTACTATCGCTGCCTATATGCCAATGTTTGAATGGTTTCTAATCGGGATCGCGCTTGCCATGATCTTCTCGATTCTGTTTTGCCCAGTAACCGACCACGAGTAAGTTGACGTCAAAAATTTTTAAAAACCCTTGAAAAAAAGCAACTCAATGTTTCATCATACATATCAATCGTTGTTGCTGCACTGATAACTGTCCTTTCTTTTTAAACAAAACTTTTCTGTTCCTCAACAAAAATTAAAGGCGATTTAACTCCAAAATGGGAGAGGAATGGCTAATAATATTCCTTGGGCTCATAATCGCTGGAGCCGTTTGCTGCCCCGGATTTTGCTTCGGGTGAGTTGAACCGGAATGCCAATACTTGGCGCTACGACTTTTCTGGTTAGCGAGAGTTCGGGTCAACGATACAGAGAGGGACATGCAAAATGCTTCCCTCTCCAAGTGAAAAAACATCGTTTTGAAGGGCGCGCATTTCCCTTATAAAAAGAGGCCCGCTTTTGAAACCGGAGTTTTTTCACTTAGAGAGGGAAGCATTTTGCCACATTTTTGATACTTCCCTGATGCAAAATGCTACGTTTTATGCCACTGGATCAGGTCCCCCACTGTACTGTGGATCGCCTAGGTTCGTCGTTGTATGCATGGGGTGGCTAGGAGAAGGCTTATTTAAAAACAAGACTAATCGGGTCCTTTGACAGTTTTGAGGTATTTTACATCTACTCACATCAATAGTATCTAGATAAAAGTTACTGATCTTCGTTTTTCGCCGCAAATTTAACTCTTTTATATGTTATAATAACCCAGGGTAAAGAAAATAACATTAGTAATCGCTAAAATTAGAAAAAATGGAGATACTGCAACTCCTCGCCAAGTCTCCGCCGAGCGTCCGCCGACCCTCCCACGGCTTTGCAACGCCTCGAGACACTTCCTGCAAAGTACCTCACCTTGCGCCTAGGTACTGGCCGTGCGAGGCCCTGTAGCAAAATTTTCTTTGGAGACCTCCGATAATGCTTCCGACCGTCGCCTTGAACCAAATAAGCTTTGAGCTTGAGACGCCCCTAACGCGGCCCGGCAGCAAAGTTCGTCTCTAAGCTGCAATCCGTGCTGACGTTTTTATAAGTATATAATTACAAATTAGTCGTCCCTGACCTTTAAAAGAATTCATATAACCCAAATAAATTTGATTGAACAGATAGGAACGCACTAGAAACTGATAACGTTTGGCAGTTTTTCCTTCCTTGATTAAATCTCCAGTTTTTCCTTCCAGCCACTTGATTCTAGACTGCTCCAAATGGATACCTTCTGGCTTTTGGCGACAGTTGTCATTGTAATCGCATTTGTGATGTTGGTTGGGAAAATTGGGTAAACTGGCTAGTAGTAAAACAAAATTGAAAAAAATTATTTTTTGCTTCCTCGCAAGGGAAGTGCCCCAAGTGGGACGCTCAGATTTTGTTTTAATTTTGTGCACGTGCTGGGCATAGGGCTTATCAATTTCTGAAAATTTCATCTTGCGCTTTGCATTTGCATCCGAGGTGCTCAATGATTTTTGCGGCCGTTAGAGTACGAGAGTACGAGAAAAGCGGAGAGCGGAATGGAGAAAAGGTTTTTAGTTTCGTGCTGAAAAAAATCGATTTTTGGAGGTAACAAAAAAGTTGCTCCTCGGTAGAAGTAGGCATGACTAAATCTTTTTTTTTCCTTTTTTTTAATAAGAAAAAACTGTCACATTTGGTACAAATTTCGATCAAAAATCATTGTCATTCCGACAAAGCGCAAGCACTGCCGGGAAAATAAAGAGTCGCATCGAAAATCGCATCGCTGCCGGTAAAATGAATTGTGTCGCGAGGTCTTACATTTCTCTTCAGCGTCACGAACGGCGCAGCGAAATTGTGCTCATTATTTTCCCGACAGTCTGGTTGGAGTCTCGTATAAGCAGCTTTTAAAATATTATCCTAAATGTATACCAATTTTCATCAAAATCTGAGCGTCGCACTTGAAATATTATATATACTTTCCCCATGTTAATTATTTTCTTTCAGCAATCGCTACTATCGTCGACGTCGTGAACATGTGACAGTGGTGTACACAGTTCCAGAAAACCTTAATCGAACATCTCCTCGAGCGCAACAAACCGGAGTCACCATTGACCCAATTTTCCATGCATACCCGACTAACCCAACAGCACCTCCACCGCCGCCGCCGCCGTATACGGCGGCAGCACCGTATTGAGCGGGAAAACAGTTGTTCCTAATATTGTATACAAGATCGTTAATTTGTACGTACTACGGGTTCTTTTCTATAAATAAATTGAAGTTTTGTCGGTGCAATTGAAGTGTAAATACTATTGGCCTGTCGGGAAAATAGTAAGAACTTTGAGTCTTCGAAAATCATATCGCTGTCGAGAAAATGAATTGTGTCGCGGCAAAATCAGATTGCTTTTCCCTGCAGCGACGAGATTGGCATAGCGGCATTGTGCTCATTATTTTCCCGACAGACTGCAAAACACTTTTATTGTAGCCTCCAGATTTTCTCAGCTAACTCGAAGTGCTCTACAGTGGCCCTGATCTAATGTCAAAAAACGTGCCATTTTGCATCCGGGAAGTATCAAAAATATGGCAAAATGCTTCCCTGTCCAAGTTAAAAAACTCCGATTTCAAAAGGAAAGAGCGCGCAGTTCAAAAACGGAGTTTTTTAGTTGGAGAGGGAGGAATTTTGCCACATTTTTGATACTTCCCGGATGCAAAATGATACGTTTTTTGCCACTAGATGAGGTCCCCCGCTGTAGATACCCTGTATGATTAAATTAACTACAAGACTTTTTTTATGAAAAAATCGCAAAATCGTGTCACGGTTTCCAATTTTTTTTTCTCCAAATAAATTTTGTTTCTGCAAAGCGCAAGCTAGGAATTTTGCTTGTTGATTTGCCTTGGAAAAACGAAATCTATTTTTGTACCAAATCTCATCAAATTCAAAGCGTGGCATTTGGAGGACTTGGTCTGCGAGTTGCCGCAGCGGCCGCCGTTTGACACTTTTGGACGCCAGATTCTTCTTACACAGCCTGAGGCCTTCACTGTCCACTAGGTCACCAGTATGGATCGATCTGCGAAAAAAGTGACTTCCCTTGTGAGGAGTCCGGTGACCGGAATAGACACTTCGCTATCGGTTTTTTACATTTCGTCTTGATTTCCAGAGAAAGAGAGAAAAAAGACACGCAAAAGCGTACTCTCTCGCCCCAAAAATTCCCCATTTCTTCCGCGACAAAGCGTTTTTTCGCGTCTTTTTTTGCCAATCCCAGTTTGGCAATTTGCCAATTATCCCAGTTTGACGTGCGCCGTTATTTTCCCGACAGGCTGATAGAGTAGTTCCACAACTTTTTTTCGACAGAAAATTTCGGATTTTCCATCTTGTCAACTTGACTTTTTGGTGTCTAAAAACTTCCTTGCTTGTTGTTTTCCCCACTTTCTGAACCGGACGACAAAAAGCGGGGAAGAATGACATTAGATGAGAGCTCGGATTTCCGTTCCATTCTTTGTATCCTTAATGTTGTAGGAAAAATGAAAAAGAAAAGGGGAAAAGACCAAAGACTCTTTGGCTGGGAATATCATAAAGAACTGTATAATTAAACGTGCTTTCTTTAGTTGAAATTTTTTGAAATTTTCGGAATTTTTTTAGGCTGGTAAATTTTGGTCGTAACGTAAGTTTTGTTTACTGTAGCTGCTCAATTCCTTATTCTCTTCAATAAAGACAGTTGTTGACATCAAAAAGATAAATTGTTTATCCCTTTTTTCAGTCTGTCGGGAAAATAATGTGGATTTGCCGCATCAAAATGTCTCGCCCTGTCTAGAGGTGGCAATCGGGCCGGGCCGATTTTTGCGGCCCGGCCCGCGGGCCGAAGTGACCAGGCCGGCCCAGGGCTTTTTCAAATTTGCTCAGGCCCGCTAATACAAAAAGGTTGGATAAAAGTCTTTTCGTTTTCTATTGAAAGTTTTTATGCTTTCCAGAAGGTTTATACGTGTGTATAAGTGAAATTAAAACGTCTAGTCGTATGACTGGGACAGCCGAGCAGGTACCTAAAACCTAGCCAAAAAGTTGGATTGTGTCGATTTTTTTATCCCATAGGAAGATAGCTATGTAAATATATGGGCGTTATAAGGCAACATGTTTAATCAAAAACTGCTTAAACACTTTCATTTACTTCAAGGCATCAAATTACAGTGAAATTTTTAGGTTTATCATAAAAAATTCGAAGATTTTCGCCCGGCCCCTTGCATATTTAGGTGGCATTTTACATATGCATAATCAGGGATTTTAAGGAGTTTTAAAAGGTAGTAAAACAGCATGTATGTCAAAAAGGTTTTATCTAATATGCATGCATCAATTCTGCAAAGCATTTGTGCTTTATTTTGCTGGTTTAATATAAAATTTTTTACTTTTCCACCATCCGGGCCGGGCCGAAAGTCGCGGCCCGGCCCGTGGGCCGAAGCGGTCAGGCCGGCCCAGGGCTTTTTCAAATCTGTTCAGGCCCGGCCAAATCACCGGGCCCAGCCCGATTGCCACCTCTAGCCCTGTCGCAGCGGCGCACCAAATTTCCAGCCGCGGAAATCCGTCACAAAACGATGATGGCGCGGCGAGTCCACATTATTTTCCCGACGGCTGACATCCCAGACACAATTTCTATTTTTTTGTCCTCCCCAACACATGGTTGGCTTGTTGTTTTGATTTATCATCTGATCTCGAGATCCCCACACCCTTTAAAAAAAAGACTCATCCCCTTCTCCCATCTGCTCATCATCTGTTTTCCTCTGCCAGCGGCTGATTTCAAGGACATTTTCGTGTTCTTCGTTGTGTCTCGCGGCTCTTTCCGGCTGTTTGGCGGGTCCGAGACATTCTTTTTTTTTCTTGCGAGGAAAAGAAGTCTTGGATTTTAGGCGGGCTGTGCTCTATTTTTACTCTTTTTTTGTCAGGGTTCTAAATGGATTATGATCGAAATCTTCGTTGATATTGAACAGAAGGCTAGTGAATTTCCTCACCATTTATTGGAAGTCAAACTACTCCAATATTTCCTTAAAAAATTAAAACAAAATTTTTTTGGTACATTAATATCTCATGAAGATAATTTTGGTTCTACCTTATAAATCCAACAAAAAAATTCCAAATAATAGTCTAGCAACCTCTTTCGTCGATTTGTCTTACAAATTTACCATTTCAACCGCGAAAACCTCCGTTCCTTCAATTCCAGGGCGCAGCTTGCGCAAAAACTCTCAAAACGTGAGACGAAAAAAGAAAAAATTTTCCGGTTTTCTCTTCGTCTATTCCAAAAAAACTGACGTAAGGGCTTTTTATTTATTACACAACGGGGAAAAGACCCCCAAGGCGTGTGTTCAGCTGTGCTCGCGGGGCTGGGAAGCCTCTCACCCGGCCCGCTGAATCAAGCTTTGACCTTTTAAGCGGGGTTTTGTTGATATTTGTACCTTTTTAGACTGTTTTTTAAAGGAAATGCGTTACTTTAATGTGTTTATTAGTTTGCGGGAGCTTTATTCAACAATGTCAGCTAAGACTAAACCAGGATTTTTGGGTTGAATCAAGATTTTTGTTCGTCTTTTGATATCTGGCCATGTATAATATAATTTTTTGTTGATGAAGCGCGGACTGGACCAAACAAACATTTGCTATGGCATTGATGGGTCTTCAACTTGCTTTTAGAAGGTGTTTAGATTCGACTTTACCGACAATTTCCTGCTTTTGGACATGATTTTGTAGCTTGTCATGTACAATATAATTTTGATGTTTTGAAGTGGAAATTGTCTTTGAAAATACTAAATTAATGTCTTTCGAGATTTATAATTCATTTTTCTTCCTAATTACATTCTTCTAAAACTTCAGAAACCAGGATTTCAAAATTTTTCGTCCAAAATATTATGTTGTTACCTAAAATCTTGCAATTTATTCCAGAACCACCCAGATTCCTCGATAAAACTTGACAATTGCCTGTTTGGCGGATAGTGGCTCCGATTAGTCATGGAGTCATACAAAAATTTCGTGGGTTATTGCGAAATCCTCGCGGGAAATTCGGACATTCGCTCGCGGGTTTGCATCATTCCATGTGAAAATGGGCGGTCCGCCAGCTGATAATTGCAGCGGTTTTCTGATAAAAAAGGTGACTCTTGGTCGATTGACACTAAATATAAATTTGGGGTGGTACGGAAAAGTCCTGACTTTTTGTTTTTGGAGTTTGGGATGTTACACTTGGCAAATTTGTTACGAAATTGCCGGTCAAAGGCAAACTCCTGCGTTTACAACTTTTTGGTGGTCTATGTAGTCTTGTCTTAAGGTTGGAGGCGGCTCATTGAAGATTGCAAAATTAATTATATTATCCATGATGAAAATATTGGTTTACGCGAGAATCCCAGTTCGGAATATTTAGTCGAGAATCTCCTTTTCTTACTATTTATCGCCAATTTACTCCCGAAATATTACTGTATTTATCAATTTCAGCTCTCTAATGATCCCGAGGTCAATCTGAACTTAACCCCCTCGCCCTTTCAACCATGGCCGTTTTTAGATCTCAGTCTAGAAAGTAAGTCAAGTTTATAGTATTGGTATTTTGGCATTTAGAAGATCACACTCACGCCCAAAACCCTCATCAACAATATCGCGAATACCCTCGAATGGTGAACTGAAGCTGCCGCCGGAGCGTGAGAACGATAACGTAGAGTATAAAGTGAGTGGGAGGGGTGTTCCAAAAAAAATCAATTACCCGCTACAATATGACATCTCCCTTCTTTAGTCCAAATTAATCAACCCGAATGCCAAGCGCCTGCAGCACCTTTGCACACAGATGAAATGGCGTCTTCAGCAGGGCGACGGAGAAGCCATCTACGAAATTGGAGTCGAAGATGACGGCCGAATGACCGGATTGGAGAACGATGAGATGTCAATTAGCATGCAGACGCTTTGCACAATGGCGCAGAGCGTTGGAGCGGTGCTTATAATCCTCAAAGACCAATGCGTGTACGGAAAACCGGGCGAAGCGGGCTCTCGGCGGGTCATCGAAGCACTGATCCGAAAACTGCCGGATGATCAGCAATTTTCGGACCTTAGGTAAGCGCGAGGTGCGCCCTGGCTCAGAGGAAAGTTGAGGAATCAGAAAAAGGTCTGGTTGTTTGACAAGAATGTCGGAAGAGTAGTTACTAGTATATTATTTATTACTTTTTGTGAAAAAAATTATTGATGGTCGACATCGGCAAGCTGCGCCCTATTTTTTTCTGAATTTTCTTTTTTTTATCGTATCTTTTTGCTGTTTTTGCGATAAATTTCCTGAAAGGCATTGTAAACCATTCTTTGCAGAGTAGCCATCCTCGGCAATGCATCAGCCGGCAAGTCGACCTTGTGTGGAGTCCTAACTCAAGGAGTTTTGGACAATGGAAATGGAAAATGCCGCCTCAACTTGCTGCGTTACATGCACGAAGTTCGAACCGGGAAAACATCGTCCGTCAACCTGGATGCCTTCGGATTCGATAAAGCTGGAAATGTAAGGATTTTAATCGCTTTTGGATTTTTTCGAATTTTAGGTGCTAAATTACTCCGAGAACTCGCTGGAAGAGATTGTAAAACACTCGACGAAACTAATAACCCTCATTGATTTGGCCGGGGATCGGAAGTACATGAAAACCACTATTTACGGGGTGTCCGGTTACACTCCACATTACTGCGCACTGCTGGTGAACGCTCGAATTGGATGGACGCAAATGAGCCAAGAGCACTTCGAACTGGCCAAGGCTTTCAATGTACCGGTGTTTATAATCGTAACGAAAGTGGACCTGGTCACAGAACAGAGACTCCAACGGATTTTCCAGCAAATCCAGGCGGTTGTAAAAAGATCTCATCCAAATCTGCTGGTTCAGAAGGTGGATGACGAAGAAATGGCCGAAAAGTAAGGAATTTGAGACTTTTTGTTTGGATTTTTAGAGGTATAAAGGCTTGATGTGGATCATGAAAGGTTGAGAGGACATTAAGAAGTTGGTATTGTCAAAAAAATTGAGGGAAAACACCTTGTTTTAGGTAGCTTTGTGACTATTTTAGAAAATTTGAGAAATTTGATGGGGATAAAGGGAAATTCACAGTGGATTTGAAATGGGAAGAGAATAGGCTTATTTTTTGTGTGGCACGTTGAACATTTTTCTCTGATAAACGGTTTTTTATACCCGCAATTTTTTCCAGAGCCGCTCAAGATTTGATGAACAATAAGACCGTACCGCTGATCCAAATATCATCAGTGAATGGGACTGGCCTTCAAACACTCTTAACCTTCTTTCGAAGACTCCCAGCCCGAATCAGCCGTCGACGCGCCGCATCCGAAGCCGAGCCGCCCTCAACTCTGTTCCATGTCGACGAAATTTTCCGCGTCTGCGAAGTGGGCTGGGTGGTGTACGGCCTCATGGCGGAGGGCAGTGTCAAAGAGAACGATTGGGTTCAGATCGGGCCGGATTCGCAGGACCAGTTCCACTTCGGCCAGGTGAAAAGTTTGAGGCGGAATAAACAGCCGGTGTGGACGGTGAATGCGGGAGAAACGGCGTCGCTGGCGGTGTCGTTCGAAAAGACCGGCGCCGAAAATTGGCTGAGAAAAGTGAGGAGACATTTGTTTGATTTTTTGGCCGAAATTTTGAAGTTTTGGCAAGAATTTGAATTTTGGGGTTTTGGCGGGAAATTCAAATCCAATTTTTTTTTAGGGAATGGTCCTTATGAACCATGATGCTACTCCAAGATGTTGCCGTCGTTTTGTCGCTAGATTTTGTCTCCTTTCCCATCCGGTCGACGAACTCTGCATTGGATTTCAAGGCACAGGTAAATTTTATATTGTTTTAGGTAAGGTACGGACAATTTTTTTGAATTTTGATGGATTTTTTGTGGTAAAACGTAATGTGATTGCTTTTGAGAGGGGGTTGCGGGTTTTCGAACTGATTTCTCTGATTTTTATTGTTAGGAATGCATTTTTTTTATATTATTTTAGCCAAAAATGATAAAAAAAAATTTGTTGAAATTGCATTTTGATATCTTTTGGTGACTCTGAGTGGATTTATTGAGGCTTATTTTCATTTTTTTCGATTTAAACCCCTGAATTTTTAGTGTACATTCGATCTCTGAGGCGCACTGTGACCATCGTTGATTTCTCATCGGAGTCACTGAAATGCGGCGAACCGACGGATGTGACCTTCGAGTTCTATGGAGGACCGTCCTATGTTCGCGAGGGAGAGCACGTCTTCTTCAGAGAGCGCACTACCAAAGGAGTAGGACAGGTCCTGTCCATCATGTGATAGATGGAAAATGTTGCCAAAAAATTGAAGGCTCTAGGGTAGAATAAGAAGAATTTTGAAAGGTTCTAGAATTTCCTTATAGAATTTGGAAAGAGTTTGAAAATTTTTGGGTATTTTAGGCTTTTTTAGGCCATTTTTGGTGGATTTTTGTCCAATTTCCCTGTTTTTTGTAGATATGTACATAGTTTAATCCATTATAGTCTTGACCGGTGTTTTTGTCCAATCTTTGTCTAATTTTTGTGCCCTCTTACACTTGTTTTTAACTAAAAAATACGGACAATGCATTTTATGAGATGAAAACGGCCATAAAATAACGGTTTTCTTATATTGTTTGCTAATGCGGTTTATAATAATTTTGGATTTTTTTGTTTATCAGTTGCATAAAATTTTTTCCAAAATTGTGGATGTGAAGAAATTAGAAAATTTTTAATTTCCTTAAAATTTTTATAAAATATGACTTTAATAGAGATTAGTATTTTTATTATGGTTATTATGCTACACTTGAGATTAAGAGAATCCAAACGACTCAAACCGTATTCTTAGATCAGTCGTTTCGGGCAAGGATCGTGTTTTTTCTTCGTCAAATCCGCCACTGTGGTTTTTGGAACCTCGGCCCAAAGGAGAATATCGTTTTCCATCGATTTGTGCTTGTCGTCAAACAAGATTTGAAGACATAAGTTGGTGGTCATTGTGCCGTTATAATAACTGCCTGAAAAATAAAAATGATAGGGTTGGCAGTGAAAATCAGATTACTTGAAAACAGAAGCTCCTCAAAACAGAGCCAGTCCTACTTCAGTCGACGAAATGGTCAAAAAAAATGAATAAAAATGAGCCAAGTTTGCTATCAAAAAGTATTGCAGAGATGAAAATACTGGGGGTTTGAATAGAGATCAATTTGTAGTTTGATCTTGGTTCTTTTGAAGCTCGAAAAAGGTCGGAAAAGTTATCCCCGTAGTGACCTTTTTTATTATCAAGAAGCAATCATTTTTGTGTTGAAACGAACACCTTTGGTATCAAAAAGTATCAGAGACACAAAAATGATTGCTTTTTTGAAGAAATAAGGTTACGGGGATTTCTTTTGCGACCTTTGTCGAGCTTCAAAAAACAATGATAAAACTTGTACAGTGGTGGACCTGATCCAGTGGCAAAAAACGTACGATTTTGCATCCAGGAAGCATCAAAAAATATGGCAAAATACCTCCCTCCCCAAGTGGAAAGACTCAGATTTCAAGAGCGCGCCCGCTCTTTTTGTGAGGAATAAGGGCGCGCCCTTCAAAACAAAGTTTTTCACTTGGAGGGGGAAACATTTTGCCACATTTTTAACACTTCCCGGATGCAAAATGGCACGTTTTTTGCCACTGGATCAGGTCGCCCACTGTAGAAGTTTTATCATTGTTTTTTGAAGCTCGACAAAGGTCGCAAAAGAAATCCCCGTAACCTTATTTCTTCAAAAAAGCAATCATTTTTGTGTCTCTGATACTTTTTGATACCATTCGACACCAAAATGATTGCTTCTTCAGAAAAAAGAAGGTTGCTTCGGGGACAACTTTTTCGACCTTTTTCGAGCTTCAAAAGAACCAAGAGAAAACTACAAATTGATCTCTATTCATACCCCCAGTATTTTCATCTCTGCAATACTTTTTGATATCAAAAAAATTAATGAATTACTGCCAGTAGACTCACCTGAAAGCAGATATTCCTTTCCTTTGTCCAAGAATATTCCGCAAAGTCCATCCTCGGCTGGGGTGTAGACCGTAGTGGGCAGAGCGGTGCTGTTCAATTCCTCCGGATATTTGAAAACTTTCAGAAATTTTATGGTGTATTTTACATCCTGAACGTATGGAAAAGCGTCGTCATGATCTGTTGTGTTGACAATTTCGAGGTTGACGATTTTCGCGTGAGAAACTGAAATAAAAATGTTGAAGATTAGTGAAATCTTTGTTTGTATTAGTTTTTACGCATGATTTTTGCAGAAATCATAACGACTTTACCGCTGAAAATGCGTTATATCGCTTCTTTGGGACATCCGAGACAAAAAATTGGCTGTTACCTTCATAAGCGTGAAGAATAGGCTCTCACTAAAAAAACTTTTTTCTCGCAAATTTCACCAAATTTTGGCCCAAAGAACCATCCGTTTCTCGCCTGTTCTCCTTTTTTCCATAGTCTTTTCTTGGCAAAAATCGTTCAGCATTCGCGGCGCTTGCAGAACATGACTGCGATTTCTCAGTTCCATTCATGAGATACTTTGATCGCGCATGTAAGAATTAAAGAAAATCTGAGCGTTGGATTCAATCAAACCCTTGATAAAATGAATTTTAACTTACCCCAATCAGCATCACAGTATTTTTGTTTGATTTTCCCAAAAGCGCATGTGCAACAGTAGGCGGGATAGGCTAGGGCGAGGATTAGGGCTATCAGAGCGACCAACTTTTTGTCGTTCATGGCTAAAAAGAATTTTTAGGTCGACTTATCAAAAAAAAAACTGTAAAAAAAGAGTGGTCAATGACTTTAAAAAACCTATTCACCGCGTAAAACAAGATAAATAGAGCAAAAATTATACACTGTAAACACGGAAACTTTCCAAAACAACCGAAATAAACAAAAAATTCAATAAAAATCGGACCGAAGCGTCGGAAAAAATACATTTGAGCCAAACGTTAACCTGAAATCGCGCGAGGAACAACTTTACCCCAACCCCCACTCTTCTTCACTTGAAGAAATTGGGCAGAGCGTTTTTAATAAGCCACCAGTGACTAACCGAATACGGGGAGTCGGGAAACTAACCAGCGAATTGGCGGTTGATAAACAAACCGATCCAAGGTGTTATTTTTGGCGAAACGGGAACACATTTTAGACGTCATTTTGACATTTGCGAAATGATGAGTAATAGGGCGAGTTGGAAGAGAGCCTTTTGAAAATCTTGGGGTCTGTCGGAGGTGTTGTTTTTTTGAGTTTGGCAAAAAAAAGAAATTGGATCGACACGTTTAAATTGTGTCAGTAAAAACGGCCTTTTGTAATCGTATGTCGAGGTTTAATGCCATTCAATGATTAAAAGGACTTTCTTTAAGAATACCACTGAACTATCAAAAATCGACGATCAAAAATTCTGTGTTTATGCATACAGTGAGGCCACTCTACGAAAATCTATTTCCGATGTGAAAGTGCTAATTTCAGGCCAAAATAAATCGCATACAACGAAAATGACGAGAAATTATCACAAGTAATCTTTTTTTTGTCCCATGCAATCCATCGCACGACAGACCGACAGACTTGACACCGCAGTATCAAGTCTATCGATCGACCCGTCACTACAGTGAGGGGCCTGATCCAATGGCAAAAAACGTCTCCTTTTGCATCCCGGAAGGGACCAAAATGACTCCAAACCATTCCCTTCTCTAAGCTAAAAAACTCCGCTTTGAAAAGCGCGCCCTTTCCTTCAAGGCGGGCTCTTCAAATCGGGGTTTTTCAGCTTACTAGGGAAGTGTACATACGAACCCTCACCAAATGATAAGTGACATACGTCACTGAAGAGCCCTTGAAAAATGGTAGAAGACACCATTTTCATTTTTTGCAGAATGACTTTCCGCGACGACCTACTGTAAATTGTATTATTTTTAGGCCATTTTGCAACAAAAATCTTCCTTTCTCTTGGGCAGGAAAAAATCCTCGAAGAGGGTTGCTTCAATAGTGTAGTGGTTGCTGAGCAGGCTCATAAGCCAAAGCAAGCCGGGTTCAGTTCCCAGCTTGGGAAAAATAATTTTTGCGTTCTTACAGTTAGAAAAATATTTGCGTTAAACTTTTACAAACGCTTTAATTTTACTGGAAGACGGTCGGTTACGGTTGCAACCATCAAACTTACATGTTTTTCAACATTAAAAAACGTGAAAAGTGTTTTTTCACATTATGGGTACTTAAAACCAGTAAATATCATAAGTAAAATGGTCTTACTGGCAAGCGCTAAACTTCATAATGATCCTTATGCTAACCTAGTAGCATTCCGTACCATTTAACGTTTTGAAATAACATTTATTATGCCCCACAGCAGATATTGTAACTACTTAAGGGACAAATCAACCGTTTATAATTTTTTGCCCTGAGGCATTCTGCAAAAAATGAAAATGGTGTCTTGCACCATTTTTCAAGAGCTTTCCAATGGTGTATAACACTTGCCATTTGGTGAGGGTTCGTTTGTACACTTCCCTAGTTAGAGAAGGGAAGGGTTTGGAGACATTTTGGTCCCTTCCGGGATGCAAAATGTGACGTTTTTGCCATTGGATCCGGTCCCTCACTGTATTTTCCCGACAGACTACATTGTGCTTGGCGATTCAACAAATCTTGTCTGTCGGGAAAATAATGAGCGCAATGTCGCTGCGCCCATCGCGTCGCTGAAGTGAAAAGCAATTGGACCTTGCCACAACACATTTCTTTTTCTCAGCGGCGACAAAGTTCTCGCTATTTTTCCGACAGACTGAGAATTAAAAAAAACAGTTACGAATACCACACAGAAAATTCTTGCAGGCCGAGCTGTTAATTGAGAATGCCTGATAGACCTTGAAGACCCAATGACAACGGTCTAAATTTGTCATCAAAAAGTTATGAAACAGGCTAAATTTTTATTGCAAAAATTTCCATGAATATCAGCATGTCGGGAAAATAATGTGGATTGGAGTCATCGCCTTGCAACGGCTAGCCACGGCTGAAAATTTTTTGCGCCGGGAGACATTTTGCTCTGACAAATCCACATTATTTCCCGACAGGCTGGTAAATTTCCTCGTTTCACCTATTACAATCTTTTTGTCAATTTAGATTGGATTTCGGCGTCTTCGGATTCAGATGTTACTGTACAAAATATTTTTTATTTACCAGCTTAGTGTAAAATGAAATTTTGATTTTTGGTCTCCACAAATCGCCTCTTTCAAGTCGCCCAGTCTTTACAATTAACCGTAGCCTGTGAAGAAACAAATTGGAGAGCTGTGCTTGGTGTTACTATGGAAAGAAAAAACAGGACCGGCACTCCGACTATCAGCTGACGCCGGAAAAACGGGTTTCTGTAAGTGGAAAGGGGGGTATTTTAATAGTAAGTTTCTTTGAAATTGTTGTTGTTTTTTTCGTGGATGCGGCTTCTCTCCGGTTGCAGCAAACGGTTCGTTCTGTAGTTTTTTTTGAAATTCGGCTTGAGAAGCTGATAATGGAGTAATGTGCGAGTGAGGGAGTGTTGTAAAAGTCGTCTGTAAATACAATTTTTAATTTTATAGAGGCTTAAAAATAGCCTTCGGTTCAAGGGCTAAGTACAATTTGTTTTTATCCCCATATAACAGCTTTTATCCTCGGGTTTGGGCGTTGCAAAAGCGTACGGGGGCTTTTAAGATTTCGCGTGGTGGTTTCTGACTGTAAACAACCAAACCGACGCTACTATTGGATAGAAATCCTCTTTAGGGCACTTTTTAATTTTTTTCAGCAAAAATGGTTTTCTTTTTTGATGAAATTTCGTTTTTAAATCTTTCTTTAAACAGAATGTTTCAATAACACATTTTCGAGCTGTAGAAACAATACCAATTTATCGGAAAAATAATATGGGTTTGTCGCAGCAAAATGTCGCGCCTCGTCGCAGCCGCGTCCGGCCGTTGCAAACCGATGATTGGCGATTCCAAGACGCTACGACGAATCCACATTATTTTCCCGACAAGCTGATATTTGTCAAATTTTTGAATTCAAAATTCGGGACGTTTCAAGTCATACTGTCGCGAAAGTAATGAGCCTTTAGTCGCATCAAAAATCGCATCATCGCCAAGAAAGCGAATTGTGCCGTGGCAAAATCAAACTGCTTTTCACTTCACGACTGGCGCAACAAAATTATGCTCGTTATTTTCCCGACAGACTAAAAGTTTTACATCAGACGGTTCGGAGCGAGGCTGACGCTACAGATTGATCTTTTGCGCTTTTTGTCTCTAACATTTTTTTTATCAAATATTTGTCTCGTCACATATCCCCCCGACAATCACTTTCGGCTCCCGTCTCCTCCGAACACAAACATATAGCACATACACTCTACAAAGGCCGACAAAAAAATCCGAGCCCTCGTTTCGAGTGAAAAAATCAACAAAACGGGGCCGCGCGCGCGGTGAAAGGCCACGTTTTAACCACAAACTCAAACAAAACCCGCCGTGTAAATCGAAGTTCAGGGCGGACGGGCCGCGCGAATTCGGATCTCAAACAAACCTCGAGCGAAAAACTGGATTTCTCGATGGGACAACAGACGTTTTTGAGCAAAACTTTAGGGGAAATTGAGCTTTGACTTCGGGAATTGAGCTTTGACTTCGCAGCGGATTTTTGCGAAGGCGATTGGGCAACTTTTTTGCACATTGAAAAACCTCGGTGGAGCAAATTGTAGGAATCAAAACACGTGTTGGTGTCAGAAGTGCCTCAACAGTATTATGAGGAATTTTTTCGAAGAAGTACTTGACTCGGATGCTCAGAATTTGTTTAAATTTTGGTGAGCATGAGCTATGTGCAGGTCAATTTGTGAAATTTTTAACTAGGCGGCACGGCCCGGATATTAATTTTAGCATTTTCACAAAGTGCCTGGACATTTGTCGCGGACCGCACCGTGCACAAAAATTGGCGAGTTCTTGCACCGTGCACTCACCCTTTTTTGGTTTTGCACTGTGCATTTGAAATACCGTTGCGACGTAGGCTTTTCTCACAAGGAAAGTACTTTTATGGGGGCTCCTACTTTTTGACGGGACATACCTCAAAAAATCAGAAAAAATGCGCTGATCAAGGATATATAAATCTTAGCTGCCCATTTTAGGTTTTTAAGGGTGAAAATGCCCAAAAACTGGTTTAATTTCCCTACAAAAGGCAGACATTCGAAACGATAAAAAGCGCACTCGGTCTCTTCCTTCGGAAGAGAGCGGTGTGGCCGAGTGGTTAGTGCCGTAGTCTGGGAATCAAGAGGGGGGACGCCGCACAGGTTCGATTTCCCTTTTGGGCTGAATCAACTTTTTTTGAAGCTGAAGGTCGGAAAAATAAATTTTTGGGCCAAGACTGTCTTATTACGTCTTAGAAACTCAATAAACACCATTTTAAGCCAAAATAAAAATTGTAAACCTGTGAAAAAATTAAGCGAAAAGGGGTTCATATAGGACTTTAAGTCAACTTCCGATTGAGTTTTCACCCCTAAAAACCTAAAATGGGCAGCTAAGATTTATATATCCTTGATCAGCACATTTTTCCTGATTTTTTGAGATATGTCCCGTCAAAAAGTAGGAGCCCCCATAAAAGTACTTTCCTTGTCAACTGCGCCGCTGCGATTTTGCTCAGAAAATGTGCACACTGCGATCGGCTTTTTTGAGGTTTGCACGGTGCGCTAAGGCAAACTTCCACGGCGGCATTGGCGACAAAAATTCAAGATTCACTGTGCGAAAGCGAAAACATATCCA